ACTTCCGCCAAGATGGAGGTTTAGCTGGATGTGCCTGCCTCCTCACACAACCAAGTTTAGGGACAACTAAATATTAGCATCACAAAACACAACCAGAACACGGAAAACTGAACTTTTCGGAAGTCCGCTAACAACAAATTCTTCAACCTGACCGGTAAGGTGCGAAACCAGTGTCCGGTGAGGACTTACAAAGGAGGGCTCGGTCGGACCGGCGCGGAATCGGCGCGCGAATCCAGTCATGCGGGTTCCAAACCCAGGATTGGACCTGGTGAGCCGCCGAGCAGCCCACCGGAGGAGCGACACAGTGGGGAGGCGGTGGCAACGAATTGACTCTGGTTGCGCGCGAGTGAGGGAGTAAGCGGTTGGACCAGCCCGGCGGCGGCAGCGGCGGCGGCAGCGGCGGCGGCGGCGGGGGGGCGGCGGCCATTTCCCGCTCTGACCACACCCCCACATACAGCGTCACAACCCAGCGACCTGGGACTCCAAGGCGCCGCTTGTCCCACTTAAAGGGCCAGAACAGACCAAAAATGTCGCAGGCAGAGCTCAAAGCCCCAGAGATAAATCTAAATGACGAAGAAATAGCAAAACTCTCAGATGCACAGTTTAAAACACTGGTCATCACCTTTCTCACAGATTTGGTGGATTACAGCCACAAATTAGAGAAACATATGGAGGCTAAATTAAGGGAAATGAATGGAATTCCACAGGAATCCCATAGAGAGATGAAAAGGAAACTGGGACTCAAATCAATGCAAGGGTCCAGAAGAAAGCTAATAATGGACAAGCAGAAAAGAGTCAAGGAGCAAGAATTCAAAGAAATGAGGAGAGTCTTAGGAACCTCCAGGACATCTTTAAACGCTCCAATATCCGAATTATAGGGGTACCAGAAGGGGGAAAGACACAACCACCAGTGGAAAAACTATTTGAACAAATAATAAAAGAAAATTTCCCCAATCTGGCAAAGGAAATAGACTTCCAAGAAATCCAAGAAGCCCAGAGAGTACCAAAAAAGTTGGACTCAAGAAGAAACACACCAAGACATATTATAATTACATTAGCCAAAATTAAAATGAAGGAAAGAATCCTGGAAGCAGCAAGAGCTAAGGGGACAGTCACCTACAAAGGAGTCCCCATCAGGCTGTCAGCAGATTTCTCAAAAGAGACCTTACAGGCAAGAAGGGGCTGGAAAGAAATATTCCAAGTCATGAAATCTAAAAACCTACAACCAAGATTGCTCTACCCAGCAAAACTTTCATTTAGAACGGAAGGACAGATAAGGTGCTTCTCAGATAAGACCAAATTCAAGGAGTTCATCATCACCAAGCCCTTATTATATGAAATGTTAAAGGGACTTATCTAAGAAAAAGAAGATAAAGAAACATGAACAGTGAAAGGACAACAAACCCACAGTTATTAACAACCACACCTAAAATGAAAGCAAACTAAAAGGACAGCTAGAGCAGGAGTGGGAAACAGAAATGAAGATCTCAAGGAGGGTTAGCAACAGGGGAATGGGAGGAGGAGAGGGGGGGGAGAAGGTACAGAAAACAGGTAGCATAGACAGTAGATAGAAAATAGATGGGGGGGGCAAGAATAGTTTGGGAAATATAGAACCTAAAGGACTTGAGACACATGGACATAAACTAAAGGGGGGTAATGGTGGGGTTGGGGGGGCAGGGTGGAGGGAAATGGAGGGGGGGGAATAGAACAACTGTAACAGCATAATCAATTCAAAAAATAAATAAATTTAATTAATAAAAAAAAAAAAAAAGAAATAACTAAAACGTAACTGAAATTGGAAATTTTTTCCCTGTTTCTGCTCATCCAATCTGATTGCTTACAGCTATCCTCTTCCCACACGTGATAAGGAGGGCTTTTTAACCAAAGTGGTAACAAGCTTTATCACTGGCTTCGAATTGTGGTTTACAGGTGAGAACCCTTAGCTCCAATCCCACAACAAAAGCGCCAGCCGCCCTTGCCTGGGAAATGCAGCCCCCAGCTGCACAGCTTCAGCACTGCCCGAAGCTCATTAGAAATGTACGCTCTCCAGCCCTCCCTGGACCTGCCTGAACTGAACCCTGCAGTTAGGGAGATCCCCTGGTGATCCGAAGGCCCATTAAAGTTTGAAAAGCACTGCTCTGCACCACTACTTCCTCCCCTGAGCCTTGCCCTGCAACCACGTGAAAGGCTTTTGAAACAACGCCAAGGACCTGGCCTCTGGTCAGAGACTCAGCTTTCATGAGTCTCAGGTGGGTCCCAGACTCTCCAGGTGACTCCACTGAGCAGCCACATAGCCTCGTGGGGACGTCCCGACCCTTTCTCTGCAGAGCACTTTACCTGAGGACTGTTTATGCTCCATGTTTCCAGCCCAGGTTGCGGTTCTGTTTAGCAACACTCACTGAGCAGCTTTCCGGGAAGGATCCGTGTGACCCTTTTCTGAGGAACTGGAGTGTGACGGCCAGCTACACCTTTGGCTCCCTGACCCGCCCCACCCCCCAGTGGGCATTCAAAGCTCTGTTGACAAAGATGGCCTGTGTTTCTAAGAAAACACAGCTGAGGCCCCTGCAGAGGGTGCCTGCCAAGGCTGCCCCAGTTTTTCATGGTTCCTTCTCAGGCTCCAGTTTACGAACTTGCTCTGCCAGCAATGGCTGGCTGCTCCTGGAAGCAGGGTTTACCCAGATAGAACGTCTTCCCTGCTCCTGCCAGCACATTAAATACACTAAGAACAAACATCTTGGGTACATATCAGGATTTGTCTCTTTTTAAATAAACCCTGTCTCGATCTTATCTTTGCTAAGGAAGCGCAGCCACAACAAGCTGTCAGATCTACTTCCCTCCCTTCTTTTGGTCTCTTGAGAATTTCCGTCCTGCCACCGGCTTCTCCTGTGTATTTATAGTTTAGGGATCTCGTGGCAGCTGCTCCAAACAACCATCCCTTGGGGTACGGGGGCTGTATAGCCTCCACCTTCCATGGCCACCAAAAGTTGTACCACTTCACAGGGGTTTGTCTGTGCCTCTTTGCCATTTATACTCCTGCCCTACATCTGCCTCAGATCATGTCACAGCAAAGCCGCAACACCGTGGCTGAGGCCACTGTTCAGAGTTCAAGGTTAACAGAAGGGATGGGTATGGAAGATGTTTTGTTTTGTGCACCTGGTCATTAACCAACTCACAGATACATGCGTGAAGTCCTCCAAACTTTCTGTCTACGTTATTTTTGGCCTCCTGAGAGCTTGGTCCATCTCGCATTATTGAAAGGAATGACCACGCAAGAATCACAAGAATCAAAGAGGCCCCGAGGTTCGTGAAATCCACACCAAGCAGGGCACTTCCAGGTGTCAAATAGCTTCTTGGGTTCTCTCCATTGGGAGCTGAGTTGCTAAGCTGTTAACTTGATCGTTTCTCTCATACTGGGCCAAAGAACCCTGCTTTATTTCCTAGCCACCGAGGGCTAACTCTCCTGTGTTCCTGACACTTTGCTAATTCCAACTCGGGGACATTTCCCTAGGACTAAAGCAGACCTCTTGGGGGCTTTTTAACCAGTAGAGTCCTCAAACCTGGGCAATTCAAAGTATGAGTCTCAATTTGAGAGAGGACAGGCCTCACCTGACCCACCATTTCCAAGTTCTGTCCCTGGGGCCAGCCGTGTATCAACAGAGGCCAGTGACGCTTGACCGGTGCTGCGGGCCTCTAGTCTGAGGCCTGCCGCCGGCAATTACTCCTGGTTTTGATCTTTGTTAAAGACTTTTGCTCAACTTGCTGGTACACGGCCTCCCTGATCCCATTACAGGTCTACACCTGTGCGTGTGTGTGTCCTTTGTAAATAACAGCCTGTTCTTTTCTTTTGGCCAGTCCTCGCCTACCCTGCCCTTTTAATTTTCTTAAACTGGTTTCATTCTTTTAAATTAGAGCTCCAATAAATAATTCAGCGATCTGAGCCTGAGGTGCCTGCCTCCTGGAGGCAGGAACACAGGCAGGGTGTTTATTGGTGACTTCCCCAGAGGGCACTGAGCCTTTCTGCAGTGAGATCTTGATTTCCCCTGGAGAAGAACCCACCACAACCCCTGACAGGCCTCTGAGGTCCTTTGTACCTCCCAGCCTGCAGGCTCCTGTCCCCCCTGACTGACAAGGGCTTGATGCGAACATCATTTCTTGCACTTGTATCTGCCGAAGAGTCTGTGTTCTTGTCGGTTCAGAGAGCCAAGTTCTTTGCTTCTAGTACAGAGCCTTCTCAACAACAGCTGTGTGTGTGTGTGTGGTGTGTAGGTGAGGGAGGGGGAGAGAGAGAGAGAGAAACACAAAACAGTGCCATGGGTGGGTTTCACTTGATCTTTCTGCCTAAGTTTCTAGGTCTTTTGTTTATCTGTCTCTCCCCCTTCCTCCCCTACACTATACCACTTCCCCTTTGTTCACCCCTCTTTCTTCTTTCCTTCATTTCTGACCACTCACTTTAACAGACCTTAATACAGAATATTATATTTAACTCCAAATTAATAGAACTTGGTAATGTTTTTGGTGTTCTCTGTAATTAAATAGCAAGAGAATAGAATGATTTCTTCTTTTATCTTACAGAAAGGGACAGGGTGGTAATTAGAATGCTTCTCTTGCCCTTTTTTTTTTTTTAAACGCCATATATATGGCTTTATAATAAAAGTTTCAATCACCATGTACAACCTCACTTTTTTCATTCTACCTTAAAGCAAGAGCATTTTCCCATGGCATTAAATATTCTTAGGAAATGTATTTATCTGTAAGCCAATGGCATTTCAGTGTTCATTTTTTTTAAATTTTAGGATAGATGACCTAATTATATCCATTGATTGAATTGCAGGTACTAAAATGACAGGATTTAAAAGGCATATTTTAAAGATGTCAATAAATACAACCAAATTGCCTACTAGTCATGTCCATGGGCCCAGCTTCCTGCCCTTGTAGCTGACATTGAGCAGTACCTTGGAAAATACAACTTTGCCCATTTAATAGGTGAAAACAGTGTCGGTATTTTAATTTACATTTCACCAAGTACCAGTACATCGAAAACTCAGAGATGACAGCGTTCAGAAACAGAAAGTAGTTGGCTTGCAAGAAATACGATACTCAAAAGGACCCACTAATCAAATAAAACATACAACAGGTCATTTAAGCCCAACACTGAGAAATCACCAAGGTGACTGAACTCATGATTGGTACATTTGTTACGAGAACCAGCAATTTTCTTAGAGGGTTATCATTTCTGCAAAGGCCATGGCTAGTCTGCAGACAGCAGCGTTGCAGAAGTTGGTAATAAAGTTGTTTGCATTCAATAGTCAGCAACTTAGGCAATGCTCAGGAGTTTATAATCTGGGGAGGGGGTCGGCTGGAACTAGAGAGGGTTCAAAGTGTTCACTGTCCCCTAACCATGAACTTAATGCATGCAAGACATGAATTTTGCTTCCACGCAGCAAGGCTTTTTGTGTGTAGAAGAGATTGTGTATTTCACTTGTAACTCCATCTGGGGTGGGGAAAAAGTATATTTACAGTTTAAGTACACAAAACAGAGAGCTTATTCTTGAATTAGTAGTGATTAATGGTATTCTTTTTCCTACAAACCACTGTCAACCTACTTTGGCCCCACCCTCCAGTTTACATCATTCTTTTCAATCTGATGCCTTGTGTTTCATTTTCTGGCCTCGTTGGCTTGTCCATTAGCTGGCAGTGGAAGAGAAGTAGCAAGAACAGATGTTCTGATCTTGTTCCTGATCTTGGGAAGAAAACCTCTGTCATCCCAAAAGTGTGACATTAGCTGAGGGTTTGTTCTGTCTTGATCGGGTTTAGGAGGTCCCCTTCTGGTCCTAGTTTCTTGTGTGTTCCCATCATGACAGGGTGCTGGATTTTGCAAAATGCCTTTTCTGAGTCTGTTGAGATAACCATAGGGCTTCTCCCCTTTGTCCTCCTAATATGGCCCTGGTCATATCTGGCCCTGATTGTCCCCTGGTATACATGGCCCTGATTGATTTTCATAGGTTGCCAACCTCGCATTCCCGGGGTAAATCCCATTTGGTCGTGGTGTGTAATTGTTTTTATGCACTGCTAAACTGTGCACACTAGTATTTAGTTGATGATTTTAAAGTCTAGGTTTTAGAGATGTTGGCCTGTAGTTTTCTTGTGATGTCTCTGTTTGGTATTGATATGAGGGTGATACTGGCATCACACAATGAATTGGGGTGTGTTCTCTCCTCATCTGTATTTTGGAAAAGTTTGTGAAGACTCGTTATTCATTGTTCTCCAGATGTTTGGTAGAATCTACCAGCGAAGCCATCAGCATGTGGGCAGTGTCCTTTTGATCTCTTCACTCGCTATAGATGTCTTCGTGAGCAGTTTTGAGTGATCACACAACACTGTACCAGACGGAGTCCCTGGATCCCTTTCGAAAGAATCAAACATGAAGAACAGGGAAGCGGCTGGATTCACACTTCTGTAGGCATTTTCTTCAAAGGACTTCTTCAGTGCCTCTGGATGGAACTGTGCTAGGCCCTGAGGCCACTGAGACAAATGGGATGGTCACAGGAAGGACCCTCAGAAACACAAAGTAGACAAGTTGATTTTATTTTATTTTTTAAGATTTTATTTATTTATCTTTAGAGGGGGAGGGAAGGACGCTTCTCATGCATCCCCTGCTGGGAACTGGCCTGCAACCCAGGCATGTGCCCTGACTGGGAATTGAACTGTGATCGTTTGGTTTGCAGGCCCATGCTCAATCCACTGAGCTACACCAACCAGGGCAGATAAGTTGATTTCAGATGTGAGTTTGGGTGACCCCTGCTGTGGGTCAGAGGAGACTCGGTGTGCTGGCAGGTCTCTGGGCCTTTCTGAGCTCCAAACAGCAACATCTGGAGTCCTCTGGCACTTTCCCAGTTACCCAACACTCTCTCTTATAAAATCTCATTACAACAGATCCTTTAGGACAACTTGGCAAAGTTCATCAGCCCTCCTTCCAAAAGCTGCAAGGTTCAGAGCAGACCAGTGTGAATTCACACATGTAGGTGGTGCCGCTCCTGTGCCGGCCACAAGTAAGGTCCTAGGAGGCAAAGCTGAAAGGTTGCCTCTCGGTCTGAGGTGGAGAGAGGCAAGGACTCCAAGGGGCACTTCGCGTGTTACAAGTCTTTGGTGGCCATCTTCCCACAGTGGCATGCTGGCAGAGTCATGGGAGACTCAGAAAAGGTCTCTCCACAAAGGTGACCCATGAGCTGTAGCTGGAACAGCCTGGCCATCATACCAGGGAGTCAGAAAGTCTTTCAAAACAAAAGTGAAAGACTTGTTTTATGTCCTGGTTTTCCCAGAATAATCCTAGTTTACTTGCATTACCCACTTCTACTCTCAAAACACCCTTTTGAGATGTGTATAGTTTCAAAGTATTTCTCTGACAGATCATTATAATTACAAAGGGAAAAAGAGAAACTTTGGAGTGGAGAGATCTGGCAGACACTGAACCCGGTGACCAAGGTTCACATCAGCACCAGTGGGACAAATAAACATCACGCGCCTCCTGATACAGTGCACGGACAAGGACACGGCAGTATCTCTGTGGTATTCTTGCCCAAAACACACACACTGAACCTAATCACTACCAAACATCAGACAGACCCGGACTGAGGAACACCCTACAAAATGACTGGCCCATACGTTGAGAAAATGTCCAGGTGATGAAAGACAAGAAAGAAAAAGGGACTATTCTTGACTAAAGGAGTCTTTAAAATGAACACTAAATGCAACACATAGTATGGGATTAGACCCTGGGCAAGGAAAAAAAAAATTTAGTGAAGCATCTAGTGAAATCTGAATAAAGCCTACGGATCAGACAAGAGTACTGTTATCACAGTACAATGTCCTTGGGTTTAGAATGGCTGAAAAATAACGTGAGCTCCCTCTCCAGGGCCCAGCCCCAGGGCACGGCCTGCCTGAGCAGGAGCAGAAACCCTGTCCTGCGCACTGAATGTTAGCTCCCCCTGTGAGGCAGAGGCTGACAGATCGCCCAGGCCCCTGGCTCCGCCTCTGATGTCCACTGGGTGAAGCCCCTGGAAGCACCGGAAACTGTCCCAGCCCTGGGAGGAGACCCGCAGCCCCCTGCAAACTCAACCAGAACTTTGTGACAGCGGTGGACAGCCCATTGTCTGGGACTATCTCATCTCTCTCAGTAGGGTTGGCTTTCCTGTTGATACTGATGCTTTCAACAATGAACACAAAAATAGAATTTTCCTGAGCAGTCCAGGGCTTCGCAATGACCCGGGAATGGTTTAGCAGATGGCTTTGTTGATCATAGGCATTTTTTTAAAAGTTATTCTTTTCAACACTTACAATGAAGGTAAATGGGCCTTCACGTTCAAATGACCCAATTTTTCTTTCTAAAGGGGTGAGGCAGGAATTAGTGGAGGCGTGATAATTTGGGCAATCCTCCACACAACAGTTATTTCGGTTGTTGTACATACGTTATTATAGTTCTTTGTAACACATTCATGTCATTAATTATGTCCGGGGTGCTCAACCAGTCCACTGACACTGAGATGCCAGAACTCTTCAGAAAAAAGTGATCAACTGATTTGGAAAATAGCAAATGAAGAGACTTAAGAAAAGGGGACTTTTTTAAAAGTCAGAGAAAAGTACCCATTTCTTTGTTCAACTATTTTATCAAGGGTCTTTGAATCAATGTGGCATTTCATAGGGTACTGTGTATCGCTTTGTCCACATCTCACCAAATAAACCATTAATTTAAAAACAAAAACCTAACTTGGGGTGGCGAACACAAAATACAATATACAAATGATGTATTACAGAATTGCACCCCTGAAATCTAGATGGTTTTTGTTAACCAGCTTCACCCCAATAAATTCAACAAAAAAATAAGGAAATTAAAAAAAAAAAAAACACAAACCATGAAAGTCATGCTTACCCCCTTTACCGATGTCCCTAAACTGGGAACACAACAATGAAAAAGATGACGGGATCGAGATTTAGATGCTGTTGACAGGTCAGAGGCCGAGCTGTGTGAGACCAGCAACACAAAGTGGGAACTGTCGCCGTGCTTGTTAAGTACAAAAGAGAGGAACCTGCCTCAGTACAGAACAGCAGGAGCACAGCATCGCTCCAGGTGGCCTGAAAAAGGTCTGCTGCAGAACCAGGTAAGATAACACCGTTTTAGGATGTACAGTGGGAAAAAGAGGTGACAATCCAGAGACATAGTAGCAGCCCCTGGTGCTCTGCTTGTCCCTGTTTCTTTGGGACACGGTGAGCCCTGGGAGGCAGGGCTCTGGTCCGTCAGCCCTCCCCCGGGTCCCAGGGCCTGGCCCGCAGTGGGCGCTCCATGCCTAGCTGATGGAAGAATGAAGAAATACTGAATGGAGTGCAGGCATTCCCGTCAGAGGAAACGCTTAAGAATAACATCCACCTTAAAGAGGACAAGCAGGAGGGTGGATCCTGGATATGATGGACTGGGTGTCAGAAGGCTTGGGCTGAGTGTGCAAGGTGAACTTCACTGTGATCTGAAAATACCCAGAGGGAAGTCATGGGAAGGAGTAGAACCGTGCCTCTTGGTCGGGAGCCCAGAGCTGGGTAAGAGAGGCAGGTCCGGGTCTAATGTGAGAAGCTTCTCACGGTGCCACCTGTCTGTGATGGAAGATGGACGGCCTTGCATGGTGGTATGTTTTTCGCACAGACGAGTTTCAGCAGCGTTCAACAGGTTTGAGAAGATTCTGTTACTGAGGAAAGAATGGCATTTCCTCCCAAATAATGTTTATTAGGTTTCCTCAAACATCCAAAAGTATGAAGAAGAAAACAAAAATGGTCTATAATCTACCATGTAGAAAACTACTAAAGGAGAAAAAAGTATCAAAAAGTATTTAAAACATTAGTTTAAATTCTACTCAGTAAAGTGTAAATTGTGAGGGGAATGGAGGTTGTGATGTTCGGCTGCAGCCAGATTACGGGAGGTTTTGAATATCTGGTCCCCAAATCTAGACTTTATTCCAATGGTCTCAAGTGGCTTCTTGGTTCTTAGGGCCAAAGCTGGCTTTCAAAGGCTAAAGTGTTAACCATAGAAGTCATCCTGAGAAACACATGTGCATAGTTTGCAGCCATCACGGACCGTATAGCTTGAAACTTCACTCCTTCTCCAAGCAGAAACTTCCAGAATGAAATGAATCTTATTTATTGCAAAGCCTGCTGGGTTTGTTTCTTCCAACATAAATCTGGCCAACATCCACCCAAGCCTGCAGTTGTATTGTCTGAATTGAGTCTATAAAGTAATACAAGTCCTCTCTCGGGGTTGCAAGCAGGAAGCACATCTATCAGGCTCCGGCTGCATCCCTGGTCACCTGGAGGAGGAGGGAAGGACAGTCTTCACGAGCAAGTCCTCCAAGACAGCATGCCTTAAGGTCAGGACTTCGTGCCTGTGACGATGGACAGCAGTTAATTTGTCAGCTCAGGATGGCACCCCTCCCCTCTTCTGGCTCTGCCTTGCCCCTAGCCTGTACCAACCCCGTGCTCAGAGACACCTTCCCTCAGAGCTCACCCCAGGCCACAGTGATTGGTAGGATGGTAAACCCCTGAGCCCAAATAAGCCAATCACATTTTTCAATCTTTTATCACTGTAATTGGTACAAAGATCCACCCCAAACAGGGCCAAAGGCAAGAGGGGCACCCCTCTCAGGTGATGGAGCTGAAGATGGAAGCCTGAGAATCATGGTTGGCCACATCGTCCATGGCCACCGAGCAGAGACCCACCGAGGGAATGAAGACAATACGTGGTATGGTAGATTGTGTTTCCAAAAAATGGGCACAGTCATATCTCTCACCCCACAGGCTTTCCCAGAACCTGGCCACTCCCCGTCAATAGGCGGAGTCTATCACTGTCCCCATTCCTTGAGACCCAGCAGGCCCTTGCGATCTCCTCCACTGAAAGGGAAGGGCAGAGCAATACGACCTGATGTCTCAGGCCAGCTCGTAGGAGGCAATACAGCGTTCTCCGAGCTCTGTCTCTGATGCTGGTCCTTGGAATGCAGCCCTCATGCGATGAGTAACCCCCTGGAGAGAGTCACAAAGAGAGACACCTGGAGCCCTCAGCCCTGGGGGACTCCCAGCTGACTGCACCACTAGCCAGCGTAATGGAGCGGTGCTAGAAGCAGAGCCTCCAGCCCTTAGTCCAGGCCTCCTGCTAACACCACTTGGAGCAGAGAGGAGCTTTCCCTTCTCTGCTAAACTTTGTCCAAGTTGCAGATTCATGAGCCTAATCAGTGATGGTAGTTGCTTTATGCTACTAGGTTTTAGGTTGATTTATTCAGTGGCAAGACCTAAAGGGGACACCTGGGAGGATGGAGAGGGACACAGTGGCTGCCCGGTGCTTAGTTCCAGTGTCTGATCACCTTCTGGAAGTAACGAGAGTCTTGCAGAATCCCCTTTTGTCTAAGATCATTGGATTTCTGTCACTTACTATTAAAAGAATCCTGATTAACACTAGTGATAGTGATTAAGGAAGGGTTCTGTTCCAGTAAGAACACTGCCTGACACCCACAGGTCCTGGGACACTAACTTCTAGATTACTGAATTTCAAGGTGAATACAGTTGCCCACCCTCCTACATGCCCTTGTCTTAAAAAAAAATCTGTAATAGTAGAGTTGCCAACTTTAATTTTGTCACATTAGACCATTAAAAATATTAATTGCTATCTACTTTTACTGTAATCTTATATAAGAAAAGATGTTTAAACATTAAAAATGTAGGAAGGACATGATCTCAGAATGAAGAATACTCCTTTAAATTGAACACATTTGGTGTCATGCAAAATTGACCATACTGACTTTTTCCACCTTTCCACTGGGGTGAAGTCAAAAGTCTGTCATAGCCAGGTATTGGTCCTTGAGGCTCAGATATTGGAAAGTTAGCTGCTGTGGGGGAGGGGAGCAACGTAGAATGCAGTCCTCCAGGAACTAATTTAAAAGAACCCTGGGGCCGTGGGTAAGGAGGCAGCTGAGTCAGTGTGGCTGGTCTTTCCTAGCAGGTGTTCTGTCCAGAGCTATCCTGCTCTGGACAGACCGAGATGGGAGCTGATGGCCTCGTTTCACAGAGCAGCATTGGATCTAATGGGTAAGTCTGCAAATCGTAGAATCAGAAGAGAGTCACGTTTAAACTTCAGTGTCAATCTTTTTTTTTTTTAGCTTGGGCAATTTATTTCTCAGTTTTCCTCATTGCTAAACAGAAATGTCTTAGGTCAGCTTCCCCAGAGACGGACCCCGGGGCCAGGATTCAGATGAAAGGAAGTGTTCACTTGATTCAGGTGAAAGGAAGTGAACACTTCATGTGTCAGGAAGTGTTCGCAGGAGAAAGCCACCAAGGAGTGAGACAGTGGGACTGGGATGAGGAAGGGAAGAGGGCCAGCGTAAAGCACAATCTCTGGCTGAATCCCCCGGGTCATCTGGTTCACTTCCATGGGGGAAGGAGGGCTGTGAACTGCCAGGCATTTGCAGCAAGGCTCCCAGCAGCCTGAGGGACATTCTGGGACAAAGTAAACAAAGAGACTCAGGTGCTGGCCAGGGGGCTCTAGTGCAGGGAAGGGGTAAAGACATTCAAGGCAAACAAGCAAAATATAACCAAAGACACTGACATTGAGAACAGGCCGACAGTGACCAGAGGGGAGAGGGGAGGGGATTTCAGGGGAAGAGGGAAAGGGTTTGAAGAAACTATTATAAGGGCACACGGACAACAACAAGGGGGGGGGACGGGAGGGAGGAGGGGAGGGCTGGGGGGTGGGCTGGGATGGAGGTAAAGGGCAGAAAACTCTACCTGAACAACAATTAAAATAAAATAATAAAATAAAATAAATCCAAGGGGAGGGAGGACTTCTGACCGCACCAACTAGGGGAAAAGAATAGTACCTGTCGCCTCATTTTGTGAATGTGCCTGGCTCGTGGTCATCACTTAGTTTAAAAAGAAGAAGGAGAAGGAAAAAAGGAAGAGGAGGTACAGGAGGAGGAGGAGGAGAAGGAGGAGGGGGAAGGGGAGACGGCGCAGGAGGCCTCCGCGGCAGCGCTCGCACCCTCTGTGGCTGTCACTCACCGAGGGAAGGAACAGGACTGGTGAGGCTCAGACTTGCTTCCTGCTCTTCTCAACCGAGACACCGCGCTGAGGTTATACAGCCTGCGCTGCCTGGCCTCCTGTCCTCTCCAGTCCTTTATTTTTAATGTGATATAACCATTTTCTTTAATTCTCTAAAGAATGGATTTACAAAAAAGGGAAGGATTGACAAAAATTAATAGAAAGGACACATGGACAACAACTAAGGGGGGTGGAAATGGGAGGGAGGTGGGGAGCATGGGGGCGGGGTGGCTGGGATGGGAGTAAAAGACAGAAAACTGTACTTGAAAAGTATTTAAATAAAAAAAAAATTCTTAGAAAAAAAGAAAGAATGGATTTACAATTTACAAAGCTAAAAATAATGATGTCCAGAGAGTGCAGAAGTCCGATGTAAGTTGGTCATGACAACACTCAGGGCTTAGGCTCCAAAGGGTCTGATTGACAGGCTTTTAAAGTCACAACTAAATAAGAAAAAATTGTAGCATTTGGTTACCATTTGAAGGAGACTACTTTTTAAAACTACCTAACATCCATCTATGGAACACAAAGGATCTTGAGACTATCATGCTAAGTGAAATGAGTCAGACAGAAAAAGCCAAGAACCGTGGGATTTCCCTCGTGTAGGATATAAAAACTGAAAGCAACAAATGAGCAAACAAGGAATACAAACAAAAACTCATGGACATAGGCAACAGTATGGCAGTTACAGAGAGAAGGGGGTGGGGACAATAAAAGGTAAAGGGGGTCAAATCTATGGGTGGTGGGCCCACAGTAGAACATATGGATGGTGTATCATAGAACAGTACACTTGAAAATGATATAATTAACCAATGTCGCCCCAATAAATTTAACTAATAAAAAAATTAAATAAACGAAACTCCCCAGTCATGAAGAGAATATTCCTTGCACTGTGAAAAGCAAATCTTCAGGGTGCCGATATCTGGTCAGCTTTTTGTTTGTTTGTTTTGACACAGAGAACTTGCTCACAGAAGCACAGGATGCCAATAATCACTTTAGGAGCACAAACCCGTCAGCGGACAGCCTGATATCAGAGGAAAGAAGGATGGGAAGATGCAAGGGGAGAGTAGGAAAGGGCTTCCCGCAGGGCGTGTTCCACTTACCTATCACTGTGTGATACATCCTGCCAAAATCCCAAGCTTTGAACAACAACCATTTCATTATGGTCCAGAATTCTGTGGATCTGGGGTTTGGAAAGGACTCAGTGTGGATGGCTTATCTCTGCTCCACGATGCCAGGGGCCTTAACTGGGAAGATCAAAAGGTGGCTGGTGACCTGTAGGGAATTCACTCACTCACTCACTCATATATATAGTGATTGAGTCTGGCTGTTGGCCGGGTCTGCAAATGGGTTCTTTGGCCAGAAAATTTACACGTGATCCTTCTCTGTAGCTGCTTGGGCTTCCTGACAGCAGGGTGGTCGAACTCCAAGAGCAATCCTCTCAAGAGAACTAGGTGGAAGCTGTACTGTCTGTTAAAACCCCACCTTGGAAGTCATGCAGTATCACTGCCAAGGTAGTCAGTCATAAGTTTACCCAAGTTCAAGGCAAGGGAAATCAATCAAGACTCTCAGTGAGGAGGAGGACAGGGGTTAAAATCACATTTTAAGAAAACAGTTTAGGAGATAGTGTGGGAAATTTTAGAAAAAATTATTCTGCTGTAGGTATCCTATAGATAATCAGACCTGTAGGGAAAAGGTTTACAAATTCAAATAATTTGGAGCAAATTCATTATACAATAGCATATTAAAGGCTTTGAAGTGTGTGGCAGTAAAGAAATAGTGTACCTTTGCTTAGCACAGAAACTCCACTATTTTTTTCTATTTCATACTAGTACAAAGGACACGCTCCAGTACTGACCTCCCGTGACTAAGCTCAACCCTTTCAGGAAACCCTTCGCCCACATCAGATTTGGATGAGTGAGATCAGTCTGCATCTGTGCTTCTCTCCTCAAAATAATACCAGATAAATTGGACAGAGCTGTGCTCTTTGGGAAAAAAAAACAACAAACAAACAGTGTTGGTTGTGAATTTATCACTTCTCAGCTCCCAAAGCACCCTTCGTATATGCTCTGTGATCAACAACAGAATTCTTTCAAGCAATTCTTTTGCAAATTGGGTATGTTGTTAACCAAATTTTCTCTGTAGAGGGCGCTAGAGGGACACTGAGGAGGAAGAGGCAGTCCTGCCTTTCAGGAGTCAGCCCGTAGGCTGTATGGGCTGGAAGATCTTCAGCAGAGCCTGTCCCAGCCGCCGGCCCAGAAGGCAGCCCCTCGGTGACATTAGGGCTCTGGCCTGGCGACAACCTTTCCATGGCCCTCCGGGCATGGAAACCAAACGCCACATGGACTGCTCTGAGGGCTCCCGCTCCAGGTGGAATCTCACTGCCCGCTCAACCTGGGCTGCCCTCCTCAGAGGGAGCCGGTGCGTCCCAGCAGCTGCAGACCAGCCGTGACCGGGCAGAACCAGCCAGCTTCCCCGCAGTCCAGGGGGCCGAGTCACACCTTCTCCAGGGAGATCTGAACCCCTTCCAAGGTCGGCCTGCGGTGGGTGCTGTCCCTCAGTCCCAGGGCACCGCATCATTCCCTTTTATCTTACAGTTGCGCTTTTATCACAGTTAGTACTTCTTTATATAAAATATCCCCATTTAACCTGTTGTATGATTCTATCTCCTCACGGGATCCACACTGCTACACGTATGAATTACAGCTCATTTTTACAAAGGGACAATGTCATGAAAGTCTAGTCAGGGTGCTCAGTTCTGATTAAGGACGGACAAAAATGTAATTTTCAAATGCTATGAACCTCTGTTGCCAGCAATTTGTACTTTTTGTAGCAAATTGTTATTTTTTTAATTATGTGTTGCAGCCCGGATTCATCCTTTAAGTCGCTGGTCTGAAAATGGATAAATCTAAGTCACATGAGCAGTATTATATATGAGGTAAGGATTTGTGTGTTTCACATGACAAAAAATCAAAACAAAACAAAAGCAATTTCTCCCTCAAAACCTCAGGCTGTCTTAACAAGAAATGGACTGTGTTGGCTCCTATAACCAAAACATCCAAAGGCAGGGCTGGCTTCAGGAGCCGGGTGAACCAGGGCCCAGATGACTTCATGGAAAACTCTTTCCCTCTAGTCAGTAACAATCGCCCTCCCTCCAGCTATGGCAGGCTCTGCTATTGTACGGCAGCAGCGCAGCGGCCCCTGCAAACATCTTCCCGTCTCACTAGCTCTGATCGGGTCATATTTCTTTCCCTGAACCAGGCAGGTGGCCAAGGTGGTGATTAAGCCAATCATGGCCCAGCCCTGGAACTGGGGGTGGGCTCAATCCCATCTAAACAGCGTGGCTGAGAACAAGGAAGGAGTCATTTCCTCAAGGAAATCCAGGGAAATACTTTAAAGGCGGAACAGAGGCTGAGCAGTTTTTAAAAGCGACACATGTCATCTGTAGAGAGGACACTATGTGTGAAAATAAGACAAAACAGAGTTGGGCATGCTTGTTAGGGCCAAGAATTTGTGGCTTCAGCTCACCTTCCAGAACTTTGGAGAAAGAGATCCACCTTAGGAAATACAAAGTGGCACAGTAATGTGTAATACAAGAAAAACACTTCAGAATGCCAGCCATGAAAACCCTAGGACTCCGCCGTATTCGCATTGTTTCAGTACGTTGTGGAAAAGTAACTCATTCATGAGGCTGCCCCAGCCCATTTGGTGCCTTTGTGCAAAAAAGGCACGGCTGACCCAAGACACTTCACTGCCCACTGCCAGGAAATAGTTATACTCACCCAGATCTAAAATACCTGGCATCAGATCGGTGCCTCTGCCGATTATGGCTCCTCTGTGCAGACCACAGCTGGAACAGCAGTATGCAAACCACGTGTGCATTCAAATGGTTCCAAACGCAAAGGGTCCTGAATAGCATGTCTCCTCCCCAGGCCGAGTTTTCCCCTGGGGGCAGTGTACCTGAAGAATGTACACTTCCCAACAAGTTTTCTTATTCCACTTCACCTCCTGGACTCAGAGAGTATAGGGAGAGGGAAACGAGGGTTATAGATAGCTTCAAATCAGATACACTGGCTTTCTTTCCAGCTGAAGGCGAGCAGCAACTCATTCTTCTCTCTCTCTGAGAAGGTGGGGCATCCAAAGCCTTTGACAGACTGAGGTGGGAGTAATACAAGACCAGCCCCTGTATACAGATTTTTCCTGAAAGAACAAGCTCAATAAATCTCCTGCACAAGGGCATCCTTGGCTCAGGCTCCACAGCCCCAGAACCCAGCACAGGTAAGTGGTTTAGGAGGAAAAGTTCTCGGAAGAACCACGTCTTAGGCTGAGCCCTTACTAGGTGGGTCATCCCTGATAAGACACTTAGTATTTTGGGCCCCAGTTTCTTTATGGTTTCATCCATTCATTCATTCAACCAGTAGCCATTGGACTAAGCATGTGACCTCCCTGCAAGAGAGTGAAGATGTGATGAACTATAAATGCGGAAGCCCAGTGCAAACTGTAAAGCCCTAGAATGTTGGGGTTACTTTAAAGGCACACCCCACCGCCCCCTGTAGTCTTTAATACCCCACACTCTGAGATTCGTGTCCCTTCTCTCCTCCCCTGCAAGTTCCCAGTGGGTGAGGGAGGACTGGACTTTCCTCCACCCTGGGAACCAGTGGGTCTCTTTGCACCTAAAATTCCAGGGTAACGTGCATTCTCATTTTGTGTACAATTAAGCAAGAAGAAACCCCTGTCGATTAAACTGGAAGACAATGACTCGTTATCTAGAATGTTTCATTTATATTTATCAATTAAGCCCTTTTGGATTTATTCTTATTGTCTCCATCATTTTATTCCAAAATTTTGTATGATTGTTTGCAATCATACAAAAAAAACCCTGCATCAATTGTATGCCTTTATATATCCACCACTTCAAGGATTCAAATTTTTAGACTATAAGATGCATTCACCCCCAACCCCAAATTTGGGAGGAATAATGGTTATTAATGCTGCTGTTGTGTTCTGTTTACATTTACACTGGTAAAACATTATGTTATTTATGTTATTAAACATTTTACCATATTTTTGCTTCAATTTTTCCCCTATTTTCCTCTAAAACATAGGTGTGTCTTATGGTCCAAAAAATATGGTAATTTTTATATATGGTGTGAAGTAAGGGTCAAAATACTTTTTTTTTCTTATCGATATCCATTATTTTAGTACCATTTGTTGAAAATTTTCCTTTCCCTATTAGATTGTTTGGGTCTGTTTTATAAATTTATTTAGACATGGATTATTATATATCCTTGCATATATATGAAAGGAAAATACATCTGTTAATGTATACATAGCACATTTTAAATATGTGTAGATAGTATGTATCATACATGTATTGTGTGTGTATCCTCACAATATGGATGTGAATGTAATAAAATTCACATCCATAGTCTTATTTTTCTGAGTCACTTTTTAATCCAGAATCTTTATGTAAATATTTTTCCATATTACTTGTCCTCTGAGACATCAAGAATGTCTCATATTCAGGGCCTCTTAAGAGAGTACTCCACTATTGTCTCCAGGGTTTTCTCCAATGCCCTGATACCCTTTTTGCAAGTTTGAATGTTGGTACTTCTGGATCTTACCTAAGTGCCAATGAAAGATTTCAAACAACAACTAGGACTCTTATTCCTTCTTTAAATTCTTCTTAAAATATTTCTTGGCCAAAACATTGCAGCTTGGCAGTTAACTGGTTTTACAACCAGGAATTATAGCTAAAGTCACAAATGTGTAGGCAGTGACAAGTACATCACAATTGCCATTTGGCCAACAGTGGTTTTAAGACCCCACTAGCTACCTCTTGGAGATATCAAGATGTGGAAAAAACGCTTAACCCAGCACTGGGTACCCAGTGCCCAGGCCTGCACCTACCCACCAGGTGAACTTCAGTGTCTTTCTTGAATAAATAAATTTGTGTTTTATCTCCAAGATTTCTTTGACCTGCTATTTCCTCCTCTGTTCAGTAGTTCTGACCTATAAAAATATATTGTCATAACCCTGGCTGGTGTAGCTCAGTGGATTGAGCACGGGCCTGTGATTCCCAATCAGGGCACATACTGGGGTTGCAGGCCGGTTCCCTGCAGGCCAGTTCCCAGCAGGGGATGCATGAAAGGCAACCATACATTGATGTTTCTCTCCCTCTCTCTTTCCCTTCCCCTCTAAAGATAAATAAAATAAAGAAAAATCTTTTAAAATTATTAAGAATATATATATATATATAGTCATCATGTTTTCCAAGCCCCAAGCCACCTGCTTAATGACCACAAAGTGCATGGTGGGAATACTTGCCTGTCCCTATTATTGGTTTTCTTGGATGTTGCTTAATACTCCTTCAAGAGTGAAGAAAGTGTTGTACCAAACGAAGGTGTTTCCAAAATAAATTAAAATACAGTGCTTTTGAGGAACTCCTGTGTAGCCCTGGAGGCAGGCATTTATATTACAGCTAAAATAGAGGGGCCGTAATTCTGTTACTGTTTATAGATGCTGCTGATTGCTCTTTGAAGCAATGCTCCAAAGTTTACATCATGCATTTAAATAGTACTTTAAAGAAAAATTTATTCTCAGTCTCATTACCAATAAGTATAAATTTGTTTGGTCCATCAATATCATTTGTTACTCTAAATTCTAAATTTGTTACTCTTATTTAAAGGAGGATGGCACAGATTTAAACCAATATATAGTCCATTAATTGGTCTGTGAGGCTTCTGGATTTTGACATCTGTCCAGGTTGGTGACTTGATATCAGGTAACATAAGAGAAGTTGTTCATTGGTCCGGCTACTACATAGATACTTTGTAGAATAATTTTATTTGGGTATGAAAAATCCAAGGGGCCTCTTGTCATATTTCTATCAGGATATTCCCCCCATACTTGGTATTTCAAAAAGAGATGATCTTGTCAATTTCCTTGTTTGGAAAGTTTTCTGTCCAGATGTAACCAACAGGGGAAGCTGAGTGGAGGGTACATGGAACCTCTCTGCACTATTGTTGCAACTTCTTTTTGACTTGTCTTAGTTTAGGCTGCTATGACAAAATACCATTGATTAAGCAGCTGATAAAACACAGAGATTTATTTATCACAATTCCGGAAGCTGGAAATCTGAGATCAGGATGCCAGTTCTGGGTTCTGGTGAGAACCATTCTCTGGCTTGTATCCTCATGTGGCAGAAAGAAAGCAAGTTAGCTTTCTGACCTCTTCTTCTTGTAAAGCCACTAATCCTGTTCATGAGGGTTCCACCCTCATGACCTAGCCTGCCTCCAAAAGCCCTCATAGTGGGAATAATTTCAACATGAGAATAGATGTATGCATGTAAGTTACTATTTCTACTATTCTGCTAAAGAAAAGTAAGCTACATGATATTAAAACTGAATCTCAGCATGCAGTTCCCCAAGGGTTCTGGATCTTTTCATAAGAGACCAGATAGTTATTATCATTCATTCTATCAAGTACCATTTTTATGTTTTTGAGATCAAAATATATCATTCTACAGCTATAGGCAAGTCATATACTATAAATAATTGTATCAATCCAGCACATGATATTACTGTAAACATTGAAACATTTTTTATAATTTTTGACTGCAGGGTACTTTGCATTTCCCACACTGTGGTTTTGCACTAGCAAATCCTATTGCATAAAAAGTCTCTTGGGTCATTTCTATATTTGGAACAGTCCCTAGTTTTTGGTCAAGTTCACCTTCCTCTGCCCGGTATCTTGCAATTGTATCCTTCACTTTTTCTTTTTCTACCACACTAATAGTCAATTGCTGATTAGCTAATTGGACTCAAGCCCAATTCAGTAAATAGATGAGATTATTAAGACTACAGTTAATCGATACATCTCAATTTGAATTATCAGTCCTTTGATGACTGACCGGCTGTTAATCTTCAGTCAACACCTGAGTAGCTATCATGTGTCAGATCCTATTCTAGGCACTTGAGGACACAAGGACAAAAGGGAAAAAGACAGGGCTCCCTCCCCAAGGAACCCAGAGTCTCCAGGGGGAGACACCAAAGCCCACTGTGACCTGCACTATAATTAGGGCGACTGGGTAACTTATCCTCAAGGTGGGACAGTTTGGAGAGTCAAAGGCGATGCTATTAATATGACACCCAAACATGGCATGTACAATTAGATTGCTCCTGGTTCTAAGGAAAGTTTATGCAACATGTTATGGGAACAAAAAGGGAAGAACTGGCTGCAAAAATAAAACAACTGAAATAAAAATTACCATCCATTTCCGGTCCCCTGGTACTCTAAAGCTGTGTTCTGAAACATCATGTGCAATTAAGTTATTTAACTTGTAAAGAACCTTTATTCAAACAACCATGGTATGAAAGGCACTTTTAAAAGCAAAGTTGCCCAGTATCATTTTTGAAAGTTGGGTGAGCATTTGGGTACATGGAGAAGGTTAAAGATAATTTATTCCTTGAATAAGTAGGCCATAAATGTATTCATCTAATACCAAAAGTTAATAAACCAGCTCTAATGGAGTAATTATTTGAAAGCCCCCATCCAAATCTTTCCTTTTTCACCCAGTGCTATTCCCAGCACTCTTTAAAACTGCAATCTTAGCTACAGCAGATAATTATATATGCTTGTCTGGCTTAAGGAGTAAATTAATTTACATGTAATTTTCCCCAAAGATGTCTATGACAGGCAATTCAATGTTACACTTTTTTTTTTTCCGAATGGCAAAAGCTAGCACAAAATACTGACTACTTAAAATGTACTTGCTTAGATGTTTTCAATCCAAAAACCTAAGTTTTTTTTCTTCCCCAAAGGGACTGAGAACCCTGTGAACTAAACTTTCTGCATACATCTCTAATGTGCGTCTCAACAAATGTGTTTGTTTTCCCAAGTCAGCTGCGCGGGGAAGGTGGGCAGTCCCTACTCTGTGTGCAGACGGGGCAAAGTCTTGTTTGTCATCTAAACAGGCCACTCGGTCAGGCAGGTCAAAAATGGTATTTGCATGTGTGTTGGTGCCTAAACAGTAAGTGCATTGTGAAAAAATACCTGGACACACATCTCATGACGTTTTGACAGATGTGCAGTATCCCTGACCAGGTGCTTGATCCAGGCTGCTGTGGGGCAGAGTAAACACCCACCTTCTAGTTTGGAACCCCCCCCCCAGGAGAGTTCACATCCTAGCTCCAAACACAACAAGGGGAAAAACCAAGAAAGGTGACAGAGGAGGAAGGTGACCCCGATTTGGGTACCCGAGGCTCTGTCGCCAGCCTGTGAGTCCACCAGGGTTGGCCTGCTGTGGGAAACTTGAAAGCATAAAGATTCCTGTACTGCTTGTTGCACAAATGAGCACAGGGTGGAAGCGATCCCTAACATAAGGCAAGCCCTTGAAAGTCACTTGAAGCATCGCCTCATTTCCTGGCAAATGAGAATGCTATTGTTACCCAAATAACCATGATCAGCACTAGTAATGAACATGGAGGCAGACCCAGGTTTTGTGGGGTCAGGAGCTTTTGCAGGTTTGAGGACCCACTGAAGAAAGAGAATGTACAATTATGAGTACAAAATTAGACAAGAAATGCAAAGACATTGGTTAGGGGCCCACATGGAGCCTATGGAGGGACCTCTGCCACCGAGGAGCTGATAGCCTAAGCTCCATGGTCTTCATGTAAGTCTACCCCTGATGTCTGCTAATAGCGTGGGAGTGTAAGCTCCAAAAGGGCGGGATTTCAGTCTATTTTCTTCACTGCTATTCCCTCCCATGCCCAGACCAGGGCTTAGCACACAGTAGCTGAACACTAAATACTTGTTGCACCAAAGGGTGGAAGTGATACCCAACATTCCCATGGTCAGGAACTATGCTGAGCACTTTACATGTAGAACCACCTTTGAAACTTACACTGTCATGATGAGATTGTAATTGCCAATCGTTATTGTCATTTGCCAGCAGGTAGTAGCTGTTGTCAGTGCCTTACAGTATTGATTAATGTAATTCTGACAATGGCACTAGAAGGCGGGTGCTCTTATAAAGATCCCTGGTTTACAGATGAAAAATCTAAGGCAGGGAGTGGTTAAGTCAGTTGCCAATGATCACACAGCTAGAAATGGCAGAGCTGGTTTTCAAAGACAGTTATTCTAGCTTCAGACTCTGTGGTTCGGGCTACACTACTGCCTCCAGAACAAGGATTAGAGAGATCACGTGACCAGCAGTTTGTAAAGCAGGCCCGCTTCAGTTCATGCCTGAAGTCGGCCCAAGCCTCTTGCATTTGCTCATGGTGTAGAATCCTGAAATATTACAAATATTGACTACTCACTAGCAAACACATCTCGGCTTGGTCTTTCTTAGAAGCCAGATGTGGTTGAAACATAAGAGAAAAGAAAGCTGAAGTTACACGGGAAACCAATCTGAAAAAGGAAAAAAAAGTTGGACATGGTTTCATTTAGAAGGCCGTCGTTTCCAGAGCTCAGAGGAGTCACTGTAATCACTGGCTCCCCTCACCATCCCCTGCCGTCAGCCCAGCCCCAGCCCCAGTCTGAGAGGCCTCTTCTCCCAATGTGGCTACTTGACATGAATATGGTTTAATAGAAGATTCAGACATACTTAGGTTGCATCCCTCTGCTTTCACCACAACCAAAGAATAAAAATAGAAAAATCTTGCTCCGATAACATCCAGGAATTTGGAAGCAAAACCATGTGTAAAGGGAATGACAGAGCCACCGCTCCTGGGAGTGCCATTCATTTCCTTGTGTCCTTGGGAAAGTTACTGAATCTTTCTTGGGCCTTTACGGTGTTCCCACTGAAATGAAATCGGAATGACTCTGGGCTGGATGACTTCGTTTGCTCCTGTAATCTCCTCTCCACCCTTTCGCATCCTGCTTTGGTCCAGGCTGCCCTCCGTAGCTGATTCGGAGCCTCAGCAGAGAGGGAAGGCAGGTGTGGAGGAGATACAGTCAGGGCGTTTGTTCTCCCATCGTCCTCCTTGCACGGTTGACACAGACTGGCTGCTTCGGCTTTTGGAAGACAGCCCCTCCCGCCGCCATCACCACCACCTCCCTCCAGGCCTGGGAGCAGTAAAACCCCCACCTGGTAGGAACCTTGGGGTACCGCACCTTTCCTGCCTTTCTCACAACTTCCAAAACTCTTTTGAAATTACCCCACCTGAGTGGACCACCCATTTCCAGCAGGGTCCCTGACTAATGCACATATATTGCTACCTGGGACATGGTGAGAAGGAGGGAGAAATGGAATTGGGCAGTTCAGGGCTTCAAAAGAGTATTCCAAGAACTAAGGCAGAAGCTGCGTAGCCTTTTGTGACCCAGCTTGAGAAGTCACATAATGTCACTCCCACCCCCATTCAGAAGTGAGGCGTACAAGAAGGAACACAGGTCTGACACCTTGATGGGAGGAGTATCAAAGAATTTGCAGCTGCGTTTTAAAACCACCACCACAGTGGAAGACAGATTCAGCCCCAGCCAAGATGCCAGACAAGAGTGACGCCATCTTGGATGCTCCAGACCAGTCCACCCACCACTCCAACAACCAGACCACAACGGACACCACACAGATCAAAAACATCACCCAGCCAAGCCTTGCTCAAATTCCTGACGCATAGAATCTGTGAGATATAATAAAATGGCGGTTGTCTTAAGTGACTAACCATTGAGGCAGTTTGTTACGCAGCGGTAGTAACTAGAGCACATGCCTTTGTTTCATGTAATCCTTATGGCAGCCACTATGGTTGCCAGATTAGGAAACCAGGGGAGACGTTAAATAACTTCACTGGCACTGCCTAGCTAACAACTGGGGCTATAACCCAGGTCTTTTCGAGCAGGCAAGCTTTGCTCCTTCTGCTGTCTTAGGCTGCCTCTAGACGGTGAGAAAAAGCTTGGGTAAAAGATGGTGGCATGCTGCAGATTCGCTGAGATGCCTCCCTCACGCCTTTGTCTGGGTCAGGCTTGTTCCAAGATTGTTAATTATACAAACCAATGCTTCCCCCAAGTTTCTAGGGCTACACTCTGGCAGTCCTCACTGTGTCTTCAGCCTCAGAAAGATCTTGGAGACATAGACCTTTCTTGTTTATTTGTTATTTATACCTCTTGCTGGTTTATTTGTTATTTATGCCTCTCTGTGTGTCAGGAAGGACAGGAAGCAGCTGGAGAGAGCAAGAGGTTAACTGTCACCAGGTGCGATGTCACCCTGGTAAGTGAAGTCCCCTTTTCTGCCCTCCCACAGGCTGACTTCCCATCTCAGTTAATGGCAGTTCCATCCTTCCTCTCAGTCATTGCCAGCTCCAGCCAATCCCTTGGAAAATCCCATTGGCTCTATTTTGAAAATCCTCCTGTGCTCCAACCACTTCCCACCATCTCCCCTTCGACCAGCAGGACCAAGCCACGGTTTCTGCTTATCTGGATTTCTGCAGTGATCTCCTCAGCTGTCTGCCCGCTGTCTCACCTCCTCACAGTCACAAGCGACCCTTATAAAACCTGTCTGAATGTGCCCCTCCCCTGCTTGACAGCCTCCAATGGCTTCCTTCCCCCACTCGGAAGAAATTTCAAGGTCCTTCACAATGTAGAAGACCCTGCAGGATCTGTCCCCAAATCTCTCTGACCTAACCCCCACTGTGCTCCCTCCCGTTCACTCCCCTTCAAACACAGCAGCACCCCTTCTGGCCCAGCGATGCTGCTCCTTGAGTCCCTGCTCTCACTGTCCCCTCTGCCTAGAAGGTTCTCTCCCAGACCTTCCCATGGAAACGAGCTCCACTGTTCCCCTTGGGTCTTTGGGACAGATGCCACTATTCTTGAGAGGCCTTCCTGGTTACCCTGGATAACCAGCACCCACCTTCTCCCCTTCTTCTCCTTTATCTTTTTATGTGGCCCTTATCCCCATTTTCAATCTGTTTCCTGTCTTCTCCTCTGGTATGGACGTTGTCTGAGGGCAGAGATTTTGTCTGTTTTGTTTACTGCTTTGTTCTCACACCTAGCTCGGGGTTCGTGTAATTGGCCCATGATAATTATCAAACATTGAATGAATTGAGTTGCAGACTCTTAAAAATCTGATGACAGCAAAGATCATCTCCTCAGATAAATGCCCAGACACGAACAGTTTTGCAGACAATTTTGGGGGGTTCCCAGGTCCCCAGCATCCATGCAGGTTAAGAACCTCTGCTTTAGAGTGACAGTTATTTAAACCAGGAACTGTAACCTTCAACTTCTGGGGAACTGGGTGTCTATCTCTAGTTAGACTCTGGTTAGACTCTGTCACTAGTGAGATGGATCATACATTGGCTCGACCAGTATTTACGGAGTGCCAGCTGTGCGTCAAGTTCAGGGCTAGCTCCTTGGGGAATAGATGTGCCTGACCCAAAGACACGCAGTGCAGACAAGAGACTGCCAGGCCGTCCCCAAAACGGAATGTTGTACGTGGGATGGTGATGGCAGGAGAGAGGCCATGATTAACTTCCTAGGTGAGACCAGGAAGAGCTCACACAGAAGGACAGGTCTGAACTGGATCTCGAAGCATGAAGAGGGTTGTCCAGCAGAGACCAGAGAGAAAGGGCCACCCAGGCAGAGGGCCAACAAGCACCAGGGCATCTACGAAGAGAAAGCTACACATTTGGTTAAAAATCTGACTTCAACAAAACCATCTTAGTTTAAATTCCGCTAGAAGCAGACCTGAGGCAAGGCTTTAGCATAAGCAGTTCATCCTGGGATCTGAAGGGAAGATGAGGATTGGGAAGTGATGAAGGAGAGCGAAGGCAGCTAATAAATAAAGTTCCAGACTCTGGGTCCCTGGGTCCCTGGGTCCCTGAGGGAAGCTCTGAGAAATGGTGTGGTACACGTGCCTCAGAAATCTCCCACCCCGGGGGTCCAGAAGCTGGGGTGCATATACACTGACCCCTCAGAGCCTTCCTTGAGGGCTGCATCTGTCTTTCAGCTCAGTCTTCCTCCCACATGTACATAGATCTGGTCCTCAGTCCCGCTTCCCTTCAAACCAATCAGACGGCAAAGGGAGGCAGGACGGGGCTGGGGGTGGAGTCAAACTCACTCTCCCTCCATCGGCACCCTACAGTGATGCAGGGGTGTGATAGATGTGGGGGAGGCAGCCTTGAGGTCCAGCACACCCATCCCGTCACATGAATTCATCCTTGAACTTCAAGCCCTGGTTTGGGAAGATCTAAGGAACCGTGGCATAGTTTCATAGTTTCACTGGGTCGCCCACCTAAGCCGAATTTGGAGAGATGACGAAGCTCCTGGTTCATCCAGTTTCCTATCTCTGCTCTGCCATATTTCACCAGTCGCTGATTGCTGGAGACTGCCTACCTCCCACAGATTTCAGTTCTCTGGTTTTGAGTTTCAACATCTGCCTCAACCCATTTTAGGTAACCTGACTCCTTCCCAAGAAGGATGGAGTCAGGGAGATTGGCAGGTGACCATGAAAAGGCCCGGACTGGGGTGATGAGGGGTTTTGCGGGGAGAGCAGAGATCCTTGCCCGTGAGGCTAATTGGAAGGATAATAAAGCAAAGGGGTCCCCTCCCCCACTGAAGCTTGCTTTGTATAAAAGGACAATTGTTCCGCAGTGGCTTTCAAAGATTTCGCTCTGATACTATCTGGCTGAAAGAAAACACGAGCCTACTTGATGGGCTCTGGAACACTTTTCAGTTCAGCTGCTCTGATCAGTCCAGAAGGGTGAGATCTTAAGCAAAATGGAAAATTTCTCTGGGTTGAGACATCGAATGAAGAAAAAAACGGCATTCTGTGCTGCGAACACCGGGGTGAAGATCAGGAGACCTAATATTTATTCCACCTTCCCCCGCCTTCAAAAGGCAGCGCTGAGAGAGAGCTGCAGGCTGATACCTAGGGGTGCGGCTCTGGACAGAGAAGGGATAGAGAGTGACGGGCACATAGTTTCAGAATAAATTCTTGCAGAGATACAGGTGGAAGGAACCGTTGGGGCTGCGTTCTGGCCTGGAGCTTGTTTGCCATCCCTAAGCCTGCATCAAACAGCACAGATAAGTTAACTACTTTCCTGGAATTCACCATCCTAATAGAGATGGGATTTTTAGCACTTACTCCCCTAGTTTTGAAAGGCTCCTTTGCTGAGATACATTCCAAAAAGCCTTACAAAAAATCACCTGGGAACTTTCCCCAGAACACTGATGCCAGGATTCCATCCCCTCCAGACCAACGAACTCATAGTCTTCAGGGATGGAGCTGGGACTTGGGTAGTTTTTTAAGTTCCCCAAGTGATCTTAATGGGCAGCCAGGGTTGAGGACCCCTGTATGATGAGGTCATCTGACCCCTGCTGCTGCTATGGGAGTGACCCTCCCCAATTCCACATGGTTGTAGTGCACCTGGCACTGTCGGTGGGGGGAATGGGCAGGCAATGGGCTTAAGCTACACTATTGGGCCCCCTGCCCAGGAATTTGGGTGATAAATGCAAGTCCCATCTCAGTCTGACTGCCCTTGTTACCCAGGAGATAAGTAGTGGGGGATTTTGGCCAGCATTTCCCCCAGATAGACCAGGAACAGAGAAAGTCGGTCTCCTGCAGGAAGGAAGAGAGGCACCGTAGTACCTGGGGCTTGGGGCTCCCAGGTCTCCCATCTTGAGGCTATACATGGGCGGAATGAGGGAGAGCCTTGGTGACTGACCATTGCCTTTGTCCCATAAACCTTGAATACAGTCAAACCTTTTAGGAAGAACCTCTAAAATTTAGGTTAGACACAGCACTCCTATGTCACCAGCAACTGACCTGCCTCCACGGCCACCCTCTACCATTGGACTCATGAAAATGAAAAGACACTTCACAAATTCAAGAACGAAGACTTCTGAGTTCTCAAATTGGTTCTTGTTTGTAGAGAAATCACCAGCCTTGAATTTCTGCTGCTGTGGTTTTTAAACCTGGGCTCTCTGCTGAATCTGGAGTTGAATCGCTTGTTTTCCCATCTACAGAATGGAACCAAGATCACCAATATGATCAAATCGCTTTGAGGAGTGCACTGTAAAAGGGTTATGAATCATGATACAGATGCAGAAGTGCCTCTTATACACGAGTCACAGTAGCATAGTGAAAGAGAGGCCTTCGAGTCCACCAAAGCTAACTGTGGGATCTCAGGCAAGTTACTGAACCACTCAGAGCCTCAGATTCCTCATTGCAGACACTAGCTAATAATGCCCATTTGCAGAACTTCTGTGGGAAGTGAATGAGATAATGTGTGAAGGCACTGAAAGCAGGCATGCCTGGTTTATGGAACTTCACTCCACAGAGGCTGAGTTTGCAAACTGAAGGCAAGACCAGCAAAAAGGTAGAAACATCCATCAGTTGCCTCTCATGAGCAGCCCAACCAGGGACCGAACCCACAACCTTTAGGTGTACGGGGTGACGCTCCAAGCACTTGAGCTCCCCAGCCAGGGCTGTGCCTCTGTTTCTTTCTTTCTTTTTTTTTTTTAATAATAGGTTTTTTAAAAAAATATTTTATTTATTTATTTTTAGAGAGAGGGGAGGGGAAGGAGAAAGAGTGGGAGAGAAACATCAATGTGTGGTTGCCTCTCGTGAGTCCCCTGCTGGGAACTGACCTGCAACCCAGGCATGTGCCCTGACTGGCAATCGAACCGCGATACTCTGGTTCGCAGGCCCGCACTCAATCCACTGAGCTACGCCAGCCAGGGCCCTCTGTTTCTTAATACTTCCTGAAGTGACTGTGAAAATTAAATGGATTAATATGCCCAAAGCACTTAGAATAGTTACCTGGCACATACGTGTGAAAGATATTATTTTTATTAGTTTAACCGAATGGCCCCACTTAACTGTGAGAGAGGCTGGGAAAATCCTTAACCAGATGTGTCCACCTAAAAGTTTAGAGTTCAAGTGTTAAAGGAAGGAGGGGCAGGGGATATTCAAAATCAAGTCTCTGTCAGGTAAGACCTGCTAAAATAAACTAGAAAGACTGTTGGAGAGGATTTCAATCTCGAGTTGGGTCTAAAGAAACCCATGTAAGGTCCTTGTGTGATGGAGTGTGTGCCATCCATTCCTCAAGATGGAGACAGTGATAAAAACAATGATGTGTGAGGCTCTGAGCCATGCTCTGTCCTGATTGTCCATGCAACCTGTTTCCAGGTCCATGATACTCCAGTTTTATGAAAAGTACCATTTCTTCTTATCCCTATCTCTCCCCAGGTCCTGTTGAGTGCTTTTCACCTGCCAGGCTAGGTGTCTGTGGTGAATTCCATCCCTGCTGGCAGTGACACAATTCTCTCAAATTTATGACACTACCCATGAGCCTCTCACAGGCATGGCGCCAGGATTCCTGGCTCTGAGAAGCATAGGTCACATTAAGGCAGTGCACCTGCTCCTTCTCCATCAGCCTCCACCTCTTGAGGGTGCCAGGAGATCCAACTGGCTTTTCTGGATTCACCATATCCAGGGAAGGGATAGGACCTGGAGTGACATCTGTCATCGAACACCAAACCAGATGCTAATATATCTTCAGCTTATGCAAAGGAGGCTGGGCTACGCAGGCTCAGAGCCCACCCCAGACACTCAGAGCAAACATATGCTGCAGCCAAAGGCCCAGTTACTTACCTTTGAGCCAAGGGGAGCCGAACAGGGGAATTAAAAAACAAGTAAATGTGGTGATGAATTTTTGGCCTTATAAATAATCAGGCAATAGAATTTCTTAAGCAAGCCATATTGTATTTTTACCTTTAGATTGTTGGCCAGCAACTCTTCAAGAATGCATACTGAAATGTATCCTTTTGCACAAATTTGGTGTTTTATTGGCATTTCTTGGAGATGACTCTTTGGATAAAGATCCTGATCACCTTTAAATTTCTCAGCTCCACCATCTCTCCTCAATCAAATTCATCTGTAAACAATCCCTTCAGTGGATTCTTTCTAAAGCAAAAGTACCTGGCAAGCAAATATCCACTCCTTAAATTTTACTTAATATGTTCCTCTTGGAGAATCTTCTGGTAAGACACATGACGGGTATTACCACTCTGCTTTTCGTCTCTGCTGCCTATTTTTCTGTGTGTGCTTCTGATCTCATTTGGGGAAATTCTTGGCACTTTATTGGGTGCAGTCAGCCTTGGAAGGTACTTGGAAGCTCATCCAGTACCTTGGGCAGAGGAATTCACAAGTGGGTGCCTAATTAACAAAAGTTGGCATGGGGGCCTTCAAGTTCACCTCTGTTTCAAATTGTTATGAGAGCCTAGAATGTTTTCAATCCTGCAAATGAAGCCTGTCATTTTGGCTCACGACCTCAACAAGGTACCATTAACAAGCATGAGGTATTTTTAGCAGGGGAGCCTCCTGATTTCCCATTTCCGATTTCTGGCTCCTCTGTGCAACTGCTGGGGCCACTCCCACAAACTGTGGATGTTCTCTCTGAAACCAGTAACCTTGTCACTTGGGCCTCATCCTCAGATACAGCCCATTCATGGGTTTCTGTCTGCTTGTAATTTATCTCAACTGCTTCCTTGTTTGAATGTGATAAGAGGGTCCCAGCAAGACTGGGTGCAGGAAAACATGCCTGCCCCTCAACTAACCTGGTTTTTTCCACTCTGCAACCTGGCGTGGGGGTCCTCTAAGGCCCCCTATGGGAGAAAGTTCATGGGTGCCTCCCCCATCTCCCAGTCCTCTTCCTGACTTTGGTTTTGTAGAATATCATATACATTATTAATTTCATTTTCCACTGGCTTGTAAAAGTAATTGCTGAAAAAAGTAAAATGTGTAAAACCAAGAGAGCTTTGTGTCCCTGACCTTGACTTTATTCACTCTCGAGAAAATGCACATGTAAACACACACAGAGACACACACCTGTTCCTCCCCAGGTCTCAGATGGGGGACGTGTGGTGTAACCTCAAGCTTCATAAATGCTCATGGATGAAACTCCTCCCTATCCGCCCCTTTGTCAAGCACAGGGTAATACACGTTTATTAGCCAAGTGGAGAAGCAGTGGTGTGGGCCCATTGTTTTCCTCGCTGGAAGGCAAGGAAGGCTGGAATTCCCTGGAGCCACATCTCTCAGCAAACACACCAGTCCAGTGGTTCCTGATGTAGAGGAGAGCTGTGTCCCTCCTCCTGAAATTTCATCCTCTACTTCTTTGCTTAGTTAACCTTGAATGGCCCTTGAAAACACTTCAAATGTCTTCTGCTAGTGGAAATTGTCCCTGGGCAATTTCCCTGCTGCATAAGTACCATCCTTGGCCTGGCACCTATGGGTACCACACTCCCTGCTGTATGGGTACCATTCCTGGCCTGGCGGGGATCCCGCCCATCATTGATCTGCTGCCCTCACACCCACACTATTGATGACGTCATCATTGAGGGAAGGGATGGTATCTCAGTGAGCTGTGCCCTGACGTAATGCATGGCCCACTGCGGGTATTAAATGTTTCCTGAGCCAATGAACACAGCTAAGAACTTTGAGGAGTCAATCTCTCTCACTGAGATCCCTGAGATTATTTTTTAAAAAACAGTGACTTAATGGAATTATTTATAATCAAGGCAGTGCTTGACACGAAATAGGCCAATAATAAAGTACTACTTAGTTGTTATGATTATTATTTATCTTCCAAGAAGCCCTAAATCTAAATAAGCTGATTCTGTATTTTCTCAGCCTTCACCATTCTTGGCTTCAGAAAGCCCTCTTCTGCCCTCAGTACCATCTCATTTATTTCGCATTTTACTCACCACTCTCCCTGGTGTATCCTCCAGCTCCGCTGCTCTTGGAGTCACCTCTCCACGCAGGCAGCTGGGGGGCCTCCATGGGGGGAGTCTGAGAGGGAGAAGAGGGCCTTTCCCTTCACCTGACTCTGAGGGTGCCAACCAGTGATTCTCGGATATGTCTTGTTCAGCCCCTGAAGGTGGCACAGTGTTTTAAAAGAATGGACATTAGTTGATTCTTACATAGTACCAACCAGGTGATGCAGAAGCCAGCCTGCCCCTTTAGAGCATTAGTGCTCTTGTTTGCCACAGACTCCACCACTCCCTGTTACACCCTCCACAACTGAATTGACTGATTGGGGCTGATTTCATAACATTCCCAGATTCTCAGGTGTTGATTTATAGTAAAAGGAAAGTGAAATATTTCTGGTCCTTCTCTCTCAAACTAAAGCAGCAAATGAAAGTACTATCTAAGAGGTCATATATTTCAGAAAAAAACGGGAGTAAATGTACTCTTTTATGTGAGTTCAGACCTTTCTATGAAGTAATGTTTAAGCACATGCATGTCTGGTTCAGAAGAACCAGACCGAAGAAGCCATTCTGAAACAAACCTGACCTGATCCCCTTACTTGCCTTACTTTATTGGCCTAAACCAGGAGGATTTAGGACCTCTGGCCACATTGACAGAGTCTCCCGGAGCCCAAACCCAGAGGTGACACTGATGGATGAATGTGGGCCCATCTCCACCTATTTCCAAACTGAAGACAGACCAGACTGACTGGTAGCTTCCGGCCCTGGAGTGGAGAGAACACCCTTACTTCCCTGCCAAGCCTCTGCTTTCTCTGCAGGACACATTAATAATAGGAGGAGGGGTGGCGGGACATTTGGGGGAGCATAAACCACAAAATCAAAAGGGCCTAGAGATTCTGAACTGCGATTAGAATTTGAGACCTTTATTTTTAATCAGTCACAAATAATTACTTGTATTTCCTTAGCTTTTAAAGAATATTTTATTAATTTTAGAGAGAGGGGAAAGGAGGGAGAGAGAGAGAGGGAGAGAAGCATCTATTGGTTGCCTCTCCTGCGTGCCCCAACCAGGGACTGAACTCACAACCTTTGATTCCTGACCAGGAATCAAACCGGCGACCTTTCCCTTTGTGGGACAATGCTCAACCCACTGAGCCTCACCGTTGGTCAGGACTATCTTCTTAATGTTTTGAAATAATTCCAGAGTGACAAAAATGTTGCAAATAAATAAATAAAGATTTTCCAGCAAACTTTCACCAGATTCCCCAAATGTTAAATAATATTTTTCATAATAAGAGTATGAGGACTGAAATCATAGAGTTGGCATAGATATAACGCTGTTACCTAATCTACAAAATTCATTCAGATTTCACCAGTTACTCACTATTGTTCTTTTTCTGAACCAGGATCCGATCTAGGATTTCACATTGCATTTAACTGTCAGGTCTCCTTCGTGTCTCTCAGTGTGAACAGTTCCTCAAATGTTTCTTTCTCTTTTGTGACCTTGACTCTGCTAAAGAACAAAATTCGACCGAGTAACAGACTGTGCAGCCACCATGGAAAACAGTATGGAGGGTCCTCAGGAAATTAAAAGTGAAACTGTCTTGTGGTTCAGTGATTCCACTTCTAGGTGTATATCTAGACTCAAGAGGCCCAAAACACTAGTTCAAAAGAATATATGCTTCCCTGTGTTCATTGCAGCATTATTTACAATGGCCAGGATGTGAAGGCGACCCAAGTGTCCATCAATAGGCCAGTGTGGCTCAGTTAGATGGGTATCATCCCACAAAGCAAAGATTCCCAGGTTCAACTTTCGGTCAGGGCATATGCCTGGGTTTCAGGTTGGGGCACATGAAAGAGGCAACTGACTAATGTTTCTCTCTCTCTTTCTCCCTCCCTACCACCCCCTCACTCTAAAAAGTAAATAAATAAATAAGTAAAATAGATGAGTGGGTAAAAGTTGTGGTACATATATACAATGGAATATTACTTGGCCATAAAAAATGAAATCTTACTATTTGCAACAGCATGGATGGACTGAGGGGGTGCTATGCTATAGAGGCGCTATGCTAAGTGAAATAAGTCCATCAGAGGAAGACAAATACCATATGATTTTGCTTATATGTGAATCTAAAGAACAAAATTGAAATAGGCTCACAGACACAGAGAACAGACTGATGATTGCCAAAAAAAAAAGTAGGGGGGTTGGGAGATTGGATGTAAAAGGTGAAGGGATTAAGAAGTACAAATTGGTAGTTACAAAATAGTCACAAGGATGTACAGCATAGGGGAGATAGTCAATAATACTGTAATGACTGTGTGTGGTGCCAGGTGGATACAGGAAATATTGGGGGAGACACATTGTGCAGCACAGGACTGTCTAACCACTATGCTACACCCCAAACTAGAACAAAATAATATTGAAAAAGAAAAATTCAACTTAGTACATTTGGAGATCTAATTGGGTTTAGGAAGTGATTAATGAGTTGGGCAGCATTCTCATCTCGCAACTACAAGGGCGCTTAGAGGAGGTGCACACAAGGGAAGGTTCTTCTAGGCAAAAAGAGAGTGGGACGAGAAAGGTAAAAGAGTACGGTACAGCCGTACTCTTTTGGGCACAGCCACCTTCCTTTAAGAGAAGGCAGGAGGTGTTATCAGGCAGATTATCTCTCCAGTGCTGACCTGGAAATTCCAGACTGATTGGTTTAAAATTCCACTCTGGGGAGAGACTCTTAAATGCACTTAAGTTAGGAATTAAGTCTTGGTGGGGCTTAGCAAGAGCGATTCCATTTTGGGTCTGTTGTTTCTCTTTAACAGCTCTTAATAAAATGTCCCTTAATTTTGGTCTGTCTGTTCTTTCCTCTTGACTAGATTCAGGTTATTCATTTTGGTACAAACAGCACTGAAGTGATGCTGTACCTTTCTCAATGTATCGTAGCAGGAGGTACCTGTTATTAACTTGGGTGTCTGCTGGTGGCTCATGAGTTTCTCCACTGAGAAGTTACTTATGAATCAGGAAGGGAAAACAGTGTTTTCTGGGGAAATACTTTGAGATAAAACACCCCTTTCCTCACCATGCTTTCACCCACTAATTCTAACATCCACTGACGATTCTTGCCTGAAACAACCATAACTCATTTTAAATTAGAATTATAATAAAGAGAACTGGTTGGTCATAGGCTAACCTATGGCCAGTACTTCATGAATGAGAATGTCCCTTAATCTTCTCTTTTTTAGAGAGCAGGTGGAATTTCCCAGGTGTCCACTTGTTTCACTGAATTATTCATGAGCCCTGGACCCCCACTGAAACAAACCGGGTTCCACAAGCCCCAGAGAATGCTATTTGTCGTGACTTCTGCTTAATGGGTGCTATGGCCTTGTGGAAACCATCTTCCAGGCTCTGTATAAACCCTCAAGCCTTCACACCACTCGTCACCCTCATTCCACGCAAACAGATCTGACTCATCTGTACCCATGTGCACAGGACCTGCTCATCCTGGCACTTATGGTGTCACCTGGGCTGTTCCTGGAAGGTGTGGTGCTGTCCCACCTGCCCGACTCCTCGTCCATCTTCACAGGTTAAGTATTTCCCACAAGTTTCAGCTCAACGCTCTGTTCTGCATGACATCTTTTATGGGAGACCAGGGTCTGCCTTTTCTTCCCTTGATATTTTTCTGCATTTAACAATGAAGCTTGGGTCTCAGCACCCCCTGATGGTGGGGTTCAAAGAACAAGAGTTTCCCAAGAAATAGTGAGGAGAGGCACATGAAATTAACGAATCTGAAGAAAAGAACGAGCTTTATGGAAACCCAGGGGGAATTACAGAAAAAAATGGCTTTTGAAATGGGCCTTGAAGGGGGCAAATTTGAGCTGTGGGTGAAGGTAGGAGGCTTTCTAGATTGAGAAAAGTTGGTTGTAAAGTGGTTGTATCCACAGAGACACATGACGATATATTTGGGGCGGGCCTTTACCCATTCTAGACCAGAGGAGTAAAGGGCTGGGAGGAGACTCAACCACTTCATAGACGCTTGGACACCGTGTGGAGTGGGATGTTAGGCCAGATTTGAGCCCAGGGCTTCAGGACAATAATTCTTGCAGGAACATGGCGGGTAGATTGGATAAATATGTCGTCGAAGGAATGGACACTGAATGTTGCAGGCGGAAGGAGAGCACCTGAATTTAGGCAGTAGTTGGAAAGGAGCAGACACCTTGTCAACAACCAGTGTACCGCAGCTTCCCTGTCATTCTGAAATCTGAAAAGCTGAAAGCCAAGAGTATCCTCTCCAGTTTGCAGACAATTTATTTGGCAGAAAACCCTGACTTAAACAGATACGAAGCTGTTTGTTTTCTTTATTTAGCCCACTTCACGAATTAAAAGGTGGCCACGATTCTTTTCTGCTCCTCCCATCCGGTGGTAGTTCCTACTCCTCCTGTTGGAACCTAGGCTGCCCTTGTCCCTGGCTTTGACCAACAGAATGTGGCAGAAATGATGGTGTGTATCTTTCCAGACTGGATCTTAGGAGGGCTGCAGATTCTGCCCCTCTTGGAAGGTTCCCTCTTGGGAGCCAGTTACCATGTGGAAGTACAACTACAGTAAACCCACCCTGCTGTGAGGAAGCCCAAGCTTCGTGGGTGGAGAAAGGCCAAGGGGAGGAGCACGGACATGCCACACTGAGTGATCAGAATTCGCGGGGAAACCCTTTTGAATTTTCCTGGCCTGCCCATTTGAAAGAAGCTGAGTGAATGACTACAACCAACACCACGTGGAGCAGGAGACCTGCCAGCCAAACCCTGCCCAAATTCCTGAGCCACAGACTCACGAACAGATAAGATGGTTGTCACTTTACACCACTGATGTTTGAGCACTTATTACGTTGCAACAGGTCGCTCACACACTTAAGCATCATTCATCTATTTTCATTGCAGAAAATCAGTATATTTAATGAAAGGGCCACTCCAGACTTTACCAAGGGTGTTATGTAGTGCATGGTATATACACATTTTACCTTTCTAAAAGAAATCTGAATTTTAAAATCCATCTGGCTGCAAGGGTTTTTTTGAGAAGGAACTGTCCTTTGTATTACAGAAATAGAGTTGCCTAGAGTTCCTTCCTCTCTTCCTGCATTCCCTAAATATCATGAATGATTCCACAGACTCCTCCAGCCATTTCCTATGTGTACCTCTTATCTCCCCAGCTACATTATTGGTTTCTCTAAACCAGCACCTCTCAAACTGTGCATGTAGCAGTCTCTCCGAGGGCCCGTTCAAACACAGCTTCCTGGGCTCTGCCCTCAGAGTTTCTGACTCAGTGGATCACAAGTGGGGCTCCAGAACTTGCACTTCTGAAAACTTCCTAGGGACCACACTTTGAGAACCACTCCTCCAGGAGAGAGTGCTGTTCTTGGTTGTATTCGTCCACTAGCGCAAGGTGCTTAGAAAATGCTCAAGGACAGAATTTTCCCAAATCTTTATATTTGTAACGCTTTTGAAGCCTTAACTTTTACCCCTGAGGTCGTCTGGGCTCCGCCCAGACTTAAAAGAAACCGAGTCCTTGTTTTATTAGATGGTAGTTGTTGCTTTCTTCTCAGTTCAGCTGATAGGCCCTCGTGGGTGAACTGTCCCTTCTGACCTCTTTTTTAACGTCTCTTGGAACAGAGCAGAAGGAACGCCTTCACTGCGACCGCAAAGCAATTCTCAGTGTGTGTGACCAACGATCATTTCCACCCAGAACCACCCAGAACCTGCTCTTTTTGGTGAGCCGTCCACCTATCAAAGCCTGTATTTTAGGGATGGTACCAGTGAGGCCCGGAAGCGGGGTGGGGGTGGGGGGTGGAACCACGTGCTCAAGGTCGCACAGCTGAGAAAAGTCAGTGCCCCGGTAAAGGGGCTCAGGTGGAACTTGACCCCAAAACAAGGTTCTTACTAAATAGGACTCCGTTAGCTTCAGGTCAAGAGCTGCCACCTCGGCTCCAGGGTCCCCACCGCAGAGCCACTAAGTGCTTCCTGAACCCCCGACTGCAGTGCATTCACCCGCAGCAGTCTGTCTGTGAGGAGGACAGACGCTGCTTGATTGGTTCAGGTGAAACGCCTTGGCCCTTTGCGTTTTGGCGTGCAGAGGCGCAAATTCTCATACTGACTACGAAAAGCACAGCCCGTGTGTGGCAAACTTCACTTTGCACACGCACACTCTCCAGCTGTTTTCCAAACGCTTCCTTCCAAGGGTGACTGCACAGAGTCACACCGCTCCACCTGGACCAGGGACCCAAACGCTGCCCCTCCACCCCACCCCCACCCCATCTCCGGGCCAGGGGCCGGCACCTCGGCTCCACGGATCCTCGCCACGGAGCCACTGCGAGCGCCTGCAGGCGTCTCGCCCTCCAAGCCCAGAGATTAAGTTGGTTCCTCACATTGTTCCCGACAGGAGGGGCAGGAAATAACGCCGGGCTGTAGTGGCGGCCGCGGCGGGTGGGGGAGAACCTCGGGCCGTCTCCAGGGCGGTCCTGGCGGCCTCGCGTCGATCGCGGGTCTAAGGTCCGGCCGGGTCAGAGTTCCCGCCGCTCTTTCTCGCCTACGAGTCGCCACCCCACCCCCCAGCCGCTCGGGGAGCGCATTCGCGGAGGCCCCGGTGTCCCCGCGGGGCCCTGCAGCCTACGCCGCGGTCAGGTGCGAGGAGACAGGTCAGCGGTGGCTGCCCGCCCGAGGGAGGCGGGGCCTGTCGGAGGCCGGGGCCCGGCAGGGGGCCGCAGGCAGCGCGCACCCCGCGCCCCCTCCTCCTCCGCGCAGCAGCCCAGCGACTCCGGGCGAGACTCCGCGCCCCCTCGGCCGCCAGGTCCCCCGCAACAGGTGAAGAGGCGGCCGGCGGCGGTGCCTGGGCGGGGCGGTCCCTCCGCAGCGCGCCTCGCGCCCGCCCCTCTCCACGCCCCCTCCCCTCCTCCCGGCCACCGCCGCCCGCCTCGGCCGCCCGGCGGCCTCCTCCGGCTCGGTCTCCGGGTCTCGGGCCCCATCGCCGCCTGAGAGCCCGCACGCCGAGGAGCGGGGGCGCCACGCACTCGCAGGACACGCGCCGCCGCTGGACCGGCCGCTGCTGGCACCCCCCGCGCGCCTCGCTCCCCGTGCCAGCCGCGCTCCCCTCCCCCTCGCCCGGGTCCCGGGGCTCCGGGCCGCGCGTCCAGCCTCCGACGCGTAGGGGGTCCCAGAGGAGGGGCCAGCCCGGCCAAGGCGCGACGATGGAGGACCCGCAGCGTGCCCGCCCGCACACCGTCACCACCACCGCCAGCTCTTTCGCGGAGAACTTCTCCACCACCAGCAGCAGCTTCGCCTACGACCGGGAATTCCTCCGCACCGTGCCCGGGCTCCTCATCGTGGCGGAGATCGTGAGTGCCTGGGGGCGGGGAGGCGGGGGGGACCCGCGCGCGCTCCGGGGCTGGGAGCCCGCCCAAGTCCGCAGACGGGCTTCGAAGGAACCCTTTTCGCTCAGCCTCGCCTTCTTCCCAAAGGGCCAAACTCAGAGACCACCTCTCAAAACCAGGCCCAGGTACCTTAGGGAAGAGGCTCGTGACCCTCAGTATGTCTGATGGGGGAGCAACCCAACTTGCTGGGCCCTGTCCGCGGTCGTGGCGTATCTTGGGAGCAGGCAAGGAGTTTATGTTAATAAGTGTCACGAACACCTAGTGTTGCTGTTACCTGATCTCCACGTGGATGGTCTCCTCCCTAAAGCACAGCTTTGCAAAGATCAGTGGACAGGAGAGGATTCTTTCCTTTTCCTAATTATCTCCCTGGTAATAAAACTGACGTGAGTCAAGAAATGTTCACCGAATAAAATCTGAGGGCCTCAAACCCCGAGGACCAAAGGGTCTCCTGCTTGGTGTTGTGGCGCATCCTGGTTTAAACCAGGGCCTAGAACGTCCCTGGGGAGGAGGCCGGCACATGCATTGTCCTCTTCATAGGAGGACATGGCGGCGGAGAGGTCAAGTGATTTCCTAGGAAGTTCCAGCCAGCCCTTCGTGGCAGAAGAAGGACCGGAGCCCTGTTAACTGCTCGTGCTGGCCGCCACCATTTATTGAGCCTTCAGCATGTGCTAGGGTCTCCTTAGGTACTTCTGCCCTCATGTGATCCACACGACCACCCTGTCCTGTGAAGGTGGTTTCAATTATTATCCCATTTCACATGTGAGTAAACTGAGGCACAGAAAGGGGAAGTGAGTCCCACCTGGAGGTGGAGGAGCTGGAAGTCAGGCCCCAGGCTGATTGTGGTCAGGGGCCTGCTCTTAGCTGCTAATGGGGGTCGCGCCCAGCTGTCTAACTGGGGCCAGGACCTCCATTCACCGCACACTTTCCTTTAAACGTTTGTGGAGGGAAAAGCTAGTCTATATGGGGGTAGAAAATGAGAGCCATGGGGGTGCAGAAGTGACTGAAGACTGTGAGACGCCTTCAGCAAAACCTGTGTACGTCGAATAGCTTACTTGCGCCTCCATTGTCTCAGACCCCACCCCAGACCCACTGAATCAATCCCAGGTAGTTCCAGTGCGCTTCAGGTTTGACAAGTGTTGGTTTACCACTCCCCCCCCTCCCCTCAGCTGGTTTTGAAGGACTTCAGAAAACCCAATAAAAGGCTAAGGGATTGGAATCACCTTGCAGGGGCTGGCTTATAGGAATTCAGCAAATATTTGCTCTGTGCATGGAGGAGTTGGCAGGCTCCCCCGCTCTGTGGGAGCAAACAGAAGCTAAAGTGACCCAGATGGGGCTTCTGCCCTGGGGCCGGTTTCTACCAGGCAAGAAGGAAAGTGCCTCTCGTTTGCTGACTGACAGTCAGTATGTTCCACACTATTTCAGAAAATAGAAAAGTGAAGGGAAGAATTATAAATGGCCCACAATCCCATTACTAGAAATAACCACTGTTGGTATATTGGCATGCATCCTTTCAGAGTTCAGTACATTTTTTTTTTTTGAAAAGGCAGAAAAACGTGTAAGAAAAATGACTCTTTTTATTGCTCTAAATGAGTATTTATTTATTTATTTATTTATATTGATTATACCATTACATTTGTTCTATTCCCTCCCTCCATTCCCCTCCACCCTGCACACCTCTCCCCCACTATTCCCCCCTTTAGTTCATGAACACGTGTCTCAAGTTCTTTAGATTCTGTATTTCCCCTATTATTCTTACCCTCCCCCTATCTATTTTCTATCTACCATCTGTGCTACTTATTTTCTGTACCTTCTCCCCCCTTCTCCTTCTCCCACTCCCCTGTTGCTAATCCTCCACGTGATCTTCATTTCTATGGTTCACTCCTGATCTAGCTGTCCTCTTAATTTGCTTTTGTTTTAGGTGTGTGTGGTTGTTGATAGCTGTGAGTTTGCTGTCCTTTCACTGTTCATGTTTTTAACTTCTTTTTCTTAGATAAGTCCCTTTAACATTTCATATAATAAGGGCTTGGTGATGATGAACTCCTTGAATTTGATCTTATCTGAGAACCACTTTATCTCTCCTTCCATTCTAAATGAAAACTTTGCTGGATAGAGCAATCTTGGTTGTAGGTATTTGGTTTTCATGACTTGGAATACCTCTTTCCAGCCCCTTCTTGCCTGTAAGGTCTCTTTTGAGAAATCTGCTGACAGTCTGATGGGAACTCCTTTGTAGGTGACTGTCCCCTTATCTCTTGCTGCTTCTAGGATTCTCTCCTTCATTTTAATCTTGGCTAATATAATGATGATGTGCCTTGGTGTGTTCCTTCTTGGGTCCAAGTTCTTTGGGACTCTCTGAGCTTCCTGTATTTCCTGGAAGTCTATTTCCTTTGCCAGATTGGGGAAATTCTCCTTTTCCACTCGTGGCTGTTCCTCTTCCCCTTCTGGACCCCTATAATTCTGATGTTGGAACATTTAAAGATGTCCTGGAGGTTCCTAAGCCTCTCCTCATTTTTTTGAATTCTTGTTTCTTCATTCTTTTCTGTTTGGTCATTTTTTCCTTCCTTCTGGTTTACTCCCTTGATTTGAGTCCCAGTCTCCTTTCCATTACTATTGGTTTCCTGTGCATTACCATTCATTCAATTAGTTTAGCCTTCATATGTTCCTCTAATTTGTGACTGAAATCAACCAGTTCTGTGAGGATCCTGATCACCAGTGTTTTGAACTGTGCATCTGAAAGTTTGGCTATTTCTTCATCACTTAGATTTATCGGCTCTGGGGCTCTGAGTTGTTCTTGAGCCATGTTTTTATCTGTTTGTGCCTGTTACGTATGAGGAGTGGAGCCTTAAGTGTTCACCAGTGCAGAGCCACCCAGGTCGCTGGTTTGTGATGCTGTATGTGGGGGCGGGGTCAGAGAGGGAGCAATGGCAGTCCCCTCTGCCGCTTTCTGCTGCTGGGGTCTGCACGGTCCGTCTCACTGCTAGCTCCTTCAACCGGTTTATCTTCGAGCTAATTTGTGACTGCGATCAGCCCTCAGTGGGTCCACTGCCTTGTCCCCTCAGTGGGTCTGCCAGCTTCTCCACACCTGGGATCCGCCCACGGCTGCTGGCCCACCTGGGTCGCGCACCCGAGTCAGTCCGGTGGCTCTTTCCTGCCTGACCCCGCTCTGCTGCTAACTCTGCCCCTCTTACCGGTTTGGCTGAAGGTTTCATTGTTGTCAGACTTCCATGTAGTTCAATTTTCTGTGGTTTGGCTGCGTTTTTGTTGCTAAAATTTTGTTGTTTTTAAACCTAGTTGTGCTAGAAGGCGCAGTGCTTCCACCTACACCTCCATCTTGGCGGAAGTCTGTTCTTCTCTGAGTTTTTATTTTTGACAGAGATGTATGTGCACATGTTTATAGAGTCAAATAGTCCTGTAGGCAGACATGTTTGCCCCACCCAGAAGCACTCACATTCAAATCTCTCGGAGCTCTAAATAATGTGATACGTATTTTTTCCAATTGTAGGTGTTGTCCGTCAGCCACCCACCCTGAAACATGAGGTGTCACCTGTTCTGGATGCCCTCCCCACCACCCCCATTATTCATGTGCCCTCCTGTCTCCCACCATGTTTTGGGTTAGATCAGTAACAGGTGCTGACCCTAGATGCGGAGCCACTGAGTAGCCTGTGGGCACTTTTCCATTCTTGTCCAGTTTCTTGTTCTCCCTGGAGTTGGTAATCTGTTTTTTCCATTTTTTAGTCTTCTAGATAGTTACTTATTTTACCTTCAGTGTCTAAATCTCCTCTTAGGAAAACTGAGAGATACTGAGACAATGGAGAGGTATTCTATCAGAGTCATCCTTACAACCAACCCTCCACAGGAACCTCTGACCTGCTCCCCTACCTGGCCTGCTCACCTGGAACAGCTGACGGCCTAGATTCTCGTGCACCGTCACCTGGAGACTCTCTCTCTGTCCTGGGTTGAATTCCCCATTTCCCATGAGCAGTATCCTCCCTGTCTTGCCTTCATCTGTGGGGGGCCGGGGAGGGGGGAGATGTGTGGTGGGGGCGGGAAACACAGCCTCTAATAGTTTCCTAAGAGAGGATGCATGTATAGATGGAGCTTCGCAACTTTTGAAATGTCTCGATTCGACTATTACACATAATTAATGGTTTAGGTAAAGAATGTTAGATTGGAAATTGTTTTTCTTAAGAATTTTTTAAGTATTTCTCTACTGTCTTCTAGTTTTTCTGTTTGTTTTAAAAAAATACTTATTTCAGACCTGGCTGGTATTGCTCAGTTGGTTGGGGTATCATCCTGTTGCAAGGCCACAGGTTCAATTCCTGGTTACAGCACGTACCTAGCACATCCCAGTTCAAGTGCGTACAGGAGGCAACCAATCGATGCTTCTCTCTCTGATCAAAGTTTCTCTCCCTTCGTCTCTCTCTAAAAAGCGATGGGAAAAAAATGTCCTTAAGTGAGGATAAAAATAATAATAAAGTGTATTTATTTCAATTCTTCTTAAAAATTTTTTATGAGTTTGTTTGACCACATGTGCCTTTACACGATTTCCTGTTCTTCCATTCTACCGGGGACCTGGTGTGTTCTCTCAGTTGGAAAAACTGACATACCTTTAAGGAGATTTTTAGAGTTTTGATTTTTATCTTTGCATTTTTCTCAGTTTTTTCCGAAACTGCCTTTATACTTTTTTTTCTATGCATCTATTTCCTTATAATTGTTTTCATGGATGAAAGACCTGCTGTGTTTACTTCTCACACAGGGAGCATTTTGGGGGCGGGAAGCTCTCGTGTTACCACAGTTTTCTGTCATCAGGAAGCACCATTTTGATTTCCTCTGTTTTCCATTTTGAAACGAGCATGTTTCCAGGTTTTACCAGTATAGCCAGTGCTGCGGCAATCTTCCTTGTTTGTCCCCCTTTCCACATTTGTCCAGAAAGTTCCTTACCGTCGAGTTGTTGTGTCAAAGGGTGC